CCGCTTCGTCCACTCATTGTTTCTGCCTCATTTTTTTGTGGATTACATTTTTCATTAAATTTTTCGTGGCAGCATGGATGGTGGGAGGTTGCACTATGTAGGGGGGCTTTATTTTTAGGGAAAAAGAGGGGTTTTCTTTTACATTTTCAAAGGGATTTTTGGTTTATTTTTAGGATATTTCTTGGCATTAACTTTTAAGAAACTGAAAGGAAGACAACCATCTTAGTGGTAAAAGTTCATCTAGTATTTGTTATTTCCTTAAAAGGAAAGTTCTTCATTTACATATAAATTATCAAAAGACACTCTTTAAGAGAGGTAAAACCTTGAAAACTCCTAACTGGCTAATTAGTGGCACCAATCAATGGCGAGCTCAGACATTTGACTACCAAATGCATCAAATTCGTCCATTTCTAGGCCCATCAACTTGTCGACACCATCTTAGCCTCCGATCAGTTGGCTTCGGTCTCATCAAAGCCTGAAAATCTGGAAGGGAAATGTATTGACTTTGAAAATTCTGAACGATTGAGGTGATAAATCTGGAGGAAGGCGAGGAAAATGCGCCCTTTAAAGTACCACCCAATGTTACACAGGAAAAATATGAGCTATCTATATTAATTTCTATTAAATTACTAGATATTATTACTATATTAAAATAGGTAAAAATAGGTTAAAGTAACGCTTAAAATATTAATAGATTTCGACAACATAACTAACTTTTAGGAAACACTCCAAAAACTTTATTTTAAGTCTTAAAAACGAGAAACTTTAACCTACAGAAAGTATAAATTTGATCCCATGACTTGGCTCATTGTTAGTTTTTCCCCCCAGTGTATCATCTAACAGGTGCTCAGCCCCATCGAGCTGAAGAATGCCGAAAGAAAGAGCCAAAATCTTTATAGACAAAACGTAAACAAACGGCGAGTGCAGGCGGCCAGGCACCGATGAGTACGAGTATTTTGTTGTTGAACATTTTCTTCTGTGTAAATAAACCTCGGGGCCCCCGAAAACTTTGATCTCGGATGAAGGAGGAGTAGGTGGGTGGCTAGTGTTGCCCGTTTGATGTTTTTTCGACTGGCGTCAGCGCCGGCGCTTCCAGCTGCCAAATTGCTGCTTTATTAGCTGCGTAAGTGGCTTCCCCCCAGCCCCACTCTGACTTACCCCAGGTGGTGGGTGGGAAGGGGGGCAAACGTATCTGTTTTGGACTATGATTAGATTTGGGTGTGCCTATTTCACGGATGGCATCGCTCGATTTGAGCGATTGTGGCCAATAAAACAGCGGGATGAGGCGGGGGCAAACGAGCTGCCAAGGTGGCTATTAAACAGCTTGTCTAATTGCCCTGCACTAGTTCTCAAATCCGAATGGTGGCCATCAATCAAGGCGTGATGGTGTGAAGGAGGAGTAGGTGGATCCACCTTCTGTCTAGGGATTGCCTCTGGGCTAATTGGCCACATTTAGCAATGTCCATATCCACTGGGCAACTGGGCAAGTGGGCACCTTGAGGCAACTTCAGGCAACCTGGTCAGAAGGTGTGAGCTTTTCATTTAACTCCCTGTTTTTCGCAAAACGGAAGCTCTCGTAAATTGCTGCAACAAGCTGACGATGACAACGAAGGCGGTGGAGGTGGCAGTAGCGGCGTTGGCCATATGAAAATGAGATCGCTTTGTATGCAAATGCCTGGGAATCGAATTGCGAATCGAGAATCGCACAATCTCATGGCGACTTTATGCCAAGACAATCGAAGCCTCCCTCCCTTTTTTGGGTTGTGTGTGGGCGTGGCTGGGGTGGCATTCAATTGTTAAAACGTGTTTACATAGTCAGAAGAAGAAATAAATTGTTGCATTACGTTAAAGGTTTCCATGATTCTAAGTTAAGGCTTCTAAAGTTAGAACAAGTTTACTTTTTAGTTTGAACTTAAGAGTTTGTTAAAAATAACTTTTGGGAAATAATCTCTCAATCTTCCCCGCTCTTATTAACTAATAACTAGTAGTATTAACTTCTTTTATATCTAGAGTACTTGTAGCTCCTAAGCTTATGCTTAGTATAGCTTCATAGGGAACTACAGTTCAGACTCATTAAAACTTCAGTTAGTTAGTAATAAGACATCTTATTATATTCCAACCAGGTAAGACATCGAAATCAATCAATAAGCCAACCGCAACTCCAATCATTTCTCTCGTTTTAGCCAAGTTAAGAATGCACAGCGGAGGAAAAAACAATCATCGATGTCGAACACAAAAACAAAACTCACAAACTGAACTTTCTGCACGCGGAGGAGCTCCTGCAGGAGGAGCAGGAAAAGGAGCTCCAGCAGGGGAGAGCAGAAACAGCAGCAGCAGCAGTGGCAGACCCACACAGAGTGCCAGAAAGAGAAGGAGCGGGGGGGAGCTGCCCCATTGCATACCCCATAACGTAGCAAGTTTGAATATACTCGTACCCGTAAGATTCCCGAGTATATTAGGTAGCAAAATTTTTACGAGCTCATTATGGCTCATTTCGGCGATTGTTGTGATCCTTTTATGCGCCTTCGAATGGCTTCAAATGGTTATGAGGCTATTTCTCTGTCATCCCCACGAGTCCTCCCCTCTTTCATCCTGCCACTCGTGTCCTTCCCCTTGAGGGCTGCGAGTCCTGGATTCGGAGTTTCCTCTGGGTCCTGGCATTCCCGCCGCCGACTCACGATATTTAGTTTGCAGTTGCGACTGCGATTTTTACTTTACTTTTGCCTTTGCTTTTGGTCCTCTCGCCATTTGCCTTCGTTTTTCTTGGGCTTTTGGCCGCATATTTGGGGAAAATGTCGCCGCGATTGTAGCCTCTGTGTGTGTCTGTGTGTGTTGTGTATCTGTGTGTGTTTTGTGGAAGTTTTTGTATCTTTTTGCTTGTTGTTGATTTTTCAGACTTGGCACCGAAAAATTGAGGGGTGGAAAATGTGGCAGGCAAGGCGGGAGAGGGATGGGGCCTGAGAAAAGTAGAAAAGTAAATTTCTTCTTATAATAAGTTTATTTTGCAAACACTTGTGGCAAGCAACTTTGTTTGTTCGTCCTCGGTTTCTGGCTTAATCTACGAGCCGTTTGTGCGAATGTGGAAACTTTGACAAATATTTGCGAAACTTTCGCGAATGGCTCGGCGTTCTCGGGGCCAGAAAGAGCCCCGATCTATTTGCATTATGCATATGAATTTATTAGCATCAATTCGCATTCGCAGCCATATTTACATTGACATTAATATCCCATTCAAAGTATTGCCGAACGGATTGTACATTTCGATTCGAATGTGAATGTGAATTCGAATTTGAATGTGAATAGGAAAAGGAAAACCGCAGCACACAAATTTTCCAGATGCTTGGCTGAAGAACAGTTTAAAGGAAACCCGAATGGGGGTTAGCTAATTTTTAAGGAACTAAATCTGATTTAAATGGTTACAGTTTTGATATCATTCTTAAGCACCATATAAATAAATTTTTTAATATTTTAACGATAAATATTCATTGATATAAGTGTAAATTTAAAATGTCTTTGGTCTTATAAGGCATCTATTTTGTTTTTTTTATAAATATTGAGTCAAACATCTCAGCATTACCTTTTCTTAAACTTGGCTTTTAATAACAATTTAAAATTTCCCCATAAATGTTCTGGTATCCCTTGTCCTAAAAGACCTTTCTTTCTCCTTTAAAAAGTTTAAAAAATTTAATAAATCCTTCAAAATTAAACAGTTTTTTCCATTCTTAAAATTGTTTATAAAATGTAAACCAATTTATATGCAACAAATAAAATGCCAAATAGTTGTGTAACTTTAAAAAGTGTTTTTGTATTCCATCCTTTTGTCAATGAATTCATTTTGCTTCCAGAATTTATTTAAAAATATACAATATTTCTATAAATTTAATTTATCTTGAAACGTATCTTGAAAACAAAAATATTTATTTAAAATACTTCAAGTTTTATTTCGAACCTTTTTCGAATACTTTCATATTTCTTTAAGTTTTGCTGTTAAAATTAAAATCAAACTTGCATCTGTATAGATAAACTTTGTAAGTGCAATGCCAGCGGAAAAGCAAGAAAATAATTACGAAAGAATAATCACCGAAGAAAATTTATTAATCGCTTTCATTTTGCTAAACCATATTTAGCAAGCAAAATAAATTTAGTTGACTTATATTCGATTTTTAAGCTACAATAATAAGATTAAATTTTAAATTATTTACAAATATAATATATGTAACTCCTCTAGGAGATATGGTAACTATACCATAAGCATTCATTAAACCGCCCGAGGGACAATACTTTATTTATAAATTTTCTTATGAGCACTAGGCTCAAAAATTTTTAATTTTAGCCGATATGAAGGTCTGAGCTGTTATTGCTCCTAGCCAAATGTTAGCTTTTAGTTTATTAGTAATTGTTAGCCCTAGATAAATAAATAAAAAAATATTTAAAAACCTATTTCTGGATTAAGTAAAGTTTAAATAATGTAATACTAAAATAAAAACCAGTAATATTTTAACTAAAGAAAGAACAATAAAAATTTCGTGAGTTACCAACTATCAGAAAAGCAGTCAAAACAGTAGTCATAAATGCTGTGAAACCCCGACTAAAAGCGGGATGTGCATCGCTCGGCGTGCAACTGGCAACTGGCTGGCTGGCCAACGAGCGCTTTTCGCCACTCAGTTGAGTGAGTTTGGCCGGGCCATAGGAAAATCAGCCCTCCTCCATGATGAATTTCCCGGCGGCGAGCGCATTTTCCTTCCTCACGAATGATGAACGAGTGTCGCCCACCCCCGGGGAAAATGAAAAGAGAGCGCAAGAGCGCTCAAACAAGTTCGAAGACAGAGACTGAGCGAAGAACGCTGAAAATGAATTCATCCGAAGAAGTTCATTCGAGCGGGCCAGTTTGAGAGCTCTCTGGCTCTCTGTTTTGGCTGGAGCGTTCACTTCCACTCGTTTGTTGGTTGTTTTTTTTTTTTTTTTCATTCCTTCCTTCTGCTGTGGGCCGAGTCGAGTGGTTTCGTGTGTGTGGCGATGAGTGGTTCGTGCGGAGCAAAGTCAAAACACTGGCAACTGCGATTTGGTGGCACATTCGTTCGATGGCAACGGTTTGGATAACAGGCGCGCGCTTTGTTTTATTATCCACATTATCAGCGGCATTATTGTTATTATTGGCCCTCAGCGCTTTTACCGCTCGCTCGCCCACGCGTCGTCCGCCCGTGAATGCCGCGCGAGGAAAAGCCTTAGCTTTCCACTACTAAAAATTGGCTCACCAATTCGAGAAAATCCGTCAGTTCAGCCACAGTATCGCGGCGAGTTCGGTCAGCAGAGTGCACACTAAGGCTAATAATCGTTTAAGTCGTTTAAATCATAAAAATAATAATAATAATTGCAATAACAATAAACATAGTAATAATCGTAACGCTTACGAGCCTTTGATAGTGCCAAGGCAAGCGCTAAACAAGTATTCAAATTCCAATTCAAATTCGAATTCAATTAACAGCAAAGTGCAATTGGCCAAAAGGAAAACAAAAAGAAAACGAAAAGAAAAACAAACAAACCAAATCGAAACGCAACAAAGTATACGAAAACACTTGTGAACCCCCAAAAAAAAAACAATAGTGAAAAATATTTTCAAAATTATTTACCCCAAGTTAAAGTTTCAATAAACATTAGTGATTAAATTAAACTAACAAAGGCCCCAACGTGGAAAGTGCAATAATTAAAATTAACTTTTTAACTAAATATTTACCAAACGGAAAAATCAAAACGCTTCTGAAAAATATTTTATAAATATTTTAAAAAGCAATTCAAATTGGTTATTAAACGAAATAAATAAAAGACATATTAATTAAAACCAAAAATAAAAAAAGACTTTAAATAAATTTAAAAATATTTGCAAGCTTCAAAAAAAGTTTAAAAAATTAAAAACAGTTAAAGAACTTTTAAAAACCCAAAGAAGACCAATGAACATCCAAGCTAGCTGAGGAAACAAATCTGAGAAAAATCCGCCAAAAAAACTCCCAGATCCCTGGAAATAAATCCCTGCGAATCCAGTCAAGACCCTCCCCCAACGACTTTTAGGCCCGTCTCTGACGGAGCACCGCCAAGATTCTTACCGCCAGCAACGCAATGAACTCGTACTTTGAGCAGGCCTCCGGCTTTTATGGCCATCCGCACCAGGCCACCGGAATGGCAATGGGCAGCGGTGGCCATCACGATCAGACGGCCAGTGCAGCGGCCGCGGCGTACAGGGGTTTCCCCCTATCACTGGGCATGAGTCCCTATGCCAACCACCATCTGCAGCGCACCACCCAGGACTCGCCCTACGATGCCAGCATCACGGCCGCCTGCAATAAGATATACGGCGATGGAGCCGGTGCCTACAAACAGGATTGTCTCAACATCAAAGCGGATGCAGTTAATGGCTATAAGGATATATGGAACACGGGCGGTTCAAATGGCGGCGGAGGTGGTGGTGGCGGCGGTGGAGGTGGTGGCGGAGCGGGCGGAACAGGTGGCTCGGGCAATGCCAATGGCGGTAATTCGGCCAATGCTAATGGACAGAATAATCCGGCGGGCGGTATGCCCGTTAGACCCTCCGCCTGCACCCCAGATTCCCGAGTGGGCGGCTATTTGGACACGTCGGGCGGCAGCCCAGTTAGCCATCGCGGCGGCAGTGCCGGCGGTAATGTCAGTGTCAGTGGCGGTAATGGTAACGCCGGAGGCGTACAGAGCGGCGTAGGCGTGGCCGGAGCGGGCACTGCCTGGAATGCCAATTGCACCATCTCGGGCGCCGCTGCCGCACAAACGGCGGCCGCCAGCAGTTTACACCAGGCCAGCAATCACACATTCTACCCCTGGATGGCTATCGCAGGTGAGTTCCCTGAAGATCCGACCAAAAGTGAGTGTCCACTGTAGCAAAAGTCCAACGAAAGTCCCCCAAATACCTATCCCTACTGTATACATTTTCCTTTCCAAGCCAAAGCTTCGTTGTTTTCCCAGTTGTTATCAAACTCAACAGATTGCAGTTGAGGCAACAGAAGTCATCCTCTGACTAATTGCTGTCTCTGCTTCGATTAACAGACAAAGTCAATATGTTATAGGGAAATAATAAAGAGCTTAAGTCGATGGTAGGGAAAAACAGATAATGAGTTTGCTTAGTAATAAAATAAGCAAGAAAAAAGAAATAAATTGGTTCTGAAATGACTGAGTTTTTTTATGAAAGTTAGTTAGGAAAATCTAAAAGTTGAAGAAACTTTGGAGTGCGTTTAATCTTTTTAATAAATTAGAAATATGTGGAAGATTAAATTCTTAATATTGTATGTCTTATTTAAAAATGTGAAACCACTAAGTGGGGAAAATATATTTGATATAAAACCTATCAAAAAAATTTTAATGAGAAATACCTTTTATTTTGTAAAGCAACTTTGAGTTTAATTCTTAAAATTTTGTATGAAAAACCAAAATAATAAGTATAAAATTAAAAAATAAATATTGGAAATAGTTAATAAACTTATTGGCTTTGAAAAATTATCATAAATTTATTTTCAAAATTTTGTATTACTCTCTTGAAAATATTTTGTTCCCAAATTAAAAATCGGATAGCATTCTTGACTTATTAAGTGTTAACAAGTTTTAACCTCCCAAGAACTTAAATTTATATGGCATGTCACATGCAAGAACTTGTTTCTAAAAAAAGTTAAAATTTTCCCAGCTTAAAAAATGTTTAAAAATTTCTTAATATACACTAAACCCATGCAAATAAAGTTCTTAAAAATTCCTTTTGGCTAACTGCCTTTGAATGAACTGCAAATTGTTTTCCACTTATTCTATTTAAAGCCACCCGTTCGGCTAACCAATCTGTGTATAGTTTATACGCTGGCCGGCAATTTAAGCGATTTAATCACTCTAAGCAAGATCAGAGCCATAAACAAGAGACCCATGGACCCATGAGTCTAAAAGAAACCAGCTCAGACCTTCCACCTGCTTCTGCACCGGCAAGCAAGCGACACCTTGCAGCGCTCCTCTGGCTGGCTAATAATTTTCAACACTTTGTTTACTAATTTTTGTCACCTTTGCTTTTAATGATGCTCGGCGGTAATTGTTGCAACGCTGGCAGCCCAAGTGAGCTGCAATTTGTGCAACAAGAGAGCGGCAACGAGCAGCGTGAATTATGGCATGCGGCTGAAAGAGCTGCAAACTGGCAAAAATAGCAAAGCAGAAAAGGCAGAAAGTATGGAAAGGAAAAGAAGGGCGGCGGCAGCCACAGGAGTGCCGTAGTGGTGGAAAGGGGCAAGAATCCTTTCAGGACACACACTGCGAGCAGAAGTCGCGCTTATTACGGTTAACTACGCCATTATGTAATTACGTTCAGCACCTCGCCGCCGCCGCTGCCGCTGCTGCCTTGCACGGGTTTAAGCCACCAGCCGAGCGAGGCGAACGGCTTGCGTCTGAGATTGCCGTTTGGGCCAAGAACCAAGAACAATGCCAAGAGTAGGTCAGCCAAAGGAGGTCTAGGTGCTCGAAGATCGAACATAAATTGCGCACAAGTTGGCACTGAGAAAAATGGGCGAATTTTAGGGATTTATTAGATTATGATGTTATTTAATAATTTTGATTTTTTGGATATCATTTTTATCATCCTTACTTTACTGATAATGATTATCTTTTTCATTGCCTTTTGTTATCAGTGTAAGAAAGTAAGCTTCTGAGAAATACCCTTCGAAAATCAATCAAATTTCCCTTATAGCCTGGTTAAAAAACAATTAAAGTTGAACTAAATTCAAGAGCCCTGCGACAGGTTTTCCCCACCACTCGATCGATCGATTCGGCGAGATGATCAGCGTAATGAAATTTATGCGCTGTGCCAGCCCAGTCTGAAGTGTCGGTGATGAATTGGCCTGGCCAAAACCAAAAAAAAAACCATTGCCAAAAAAACCTTCCCATACAGGGTGTCTCGTATAACACTTTTCAGCTTAGGCAGACCATCTCTCAGGGCTATAACATCTTAAAAGGCAGAGTCTTCCCTCTAAGAAATTTCAAATGAATTCTTACCTGAAGAAGGTCAAACAAGATTACCTGAAATTACCTTCTCTCCTTATGTTTCTTATAAGAAAACGGGATTAGCTGGACCTTTACGATATTCGGAGAGAGTTGAACTTGAGAGGTGGAAATTAGATTATCTCGCTGATGGCATCTTCATGACTTTTCTATATATACTATATTTCAGTCTTATCTCCGATTTGCTCCGATCTAAATCCCCTTGATTGCCATTTGTCAACTGCTATCGCTGATTTGATTTACTTCCAAGCGATTTAAAGCGAATATAATTTAATTTTAAGCGATTTGCTTTGAGCGAACTGATTAAATCTGACGATCGGAGAGGAAAATCAAGTCATAAATAAATCGGCGCACACTTCCAGCGATCATCGATCATTTGCCGCTGATTCGAGGCCCCCCAAAAATGCAAACCAAATTCAATTTTATCGTATCTAAACATGGCTTCACATTTGAAAAACCCACATCACAGTTTTCTGGCCATTTCAAGTTGGCGTTGCTATGTTGTTCTTGGGCCAGTTGTTGTGTGTGTGTATGTTGGTCTGCGTGTGTTGTATGTGCGAACACACGGCGAGTGGCGAGTGGCGGGCGGCGAGGAGCATTAAATCATTGTCCTGAAGGCTTTTAAGTCATTATCGATAAATTTCAACATAAATTCGTAAATTTGCTTTATTTGCCCGGGCCGGTGTGTGAGGTTCACGTCGGTGAAGTGGTTTATGGCCAAGTTCTGCGGCTGTCCGAAATTTGTCGGACGCCTAATTTCAAAGCAGGCTATGTGGGGGGAAAATTATATAAAAAATTTGTTAGTTTTATGTTAAAAATAGTTTGTATTTTAAATTTCATTTTATGATTTTCTTTCCTTTAAATGTTATGAATTTTAGACTAAAATTCACAAAAAAAACATGAAAATATTTTAATATTTAAAAATTACATCTTTTTTATTAGTTTAATTAAATATTATAAAGTTTCTTATATCAAAAAATGAAGTAAAATTTAGTGCAAATCTCCTTCATGTCAAAGTAAATTACAAACCCTCTACCCCCATTTCTCTCTGTGCAGCTACAGTTCACCCTGAAAGATAGATTTTGTTGCGGCTTGTTATTTTTTTTGTCCCACAATGACCTTGAGAATGGCTGGCCGGACGGGCAATTGACACGTTTAGGGCAATCATAATTCATATTTGCCGCAGTTTCCGAGCCAAAGAACTCTCACGCTGTGACGTAATTATCAGGATGCCTCATAGCCAGAAATATATATCTATATATCTACCTGCAATTGTAATGGACACGTAGAAGGAAAGAGGGCACGTCAGAACATATCTTCTCAAGGTTAATGGGCAGTGCAACATTCCAAAACTCTGCGCAGTTCAAATGTCAGGCAACAGTTGCCACTGCAACATGCAATTAATTGGCAAAGGAAGTGCAGCGATGATGCCACCGATTATGTAAATGGCGAAGTGCAGCCAACACACACAGGAAAACCTTTCAACGCGCGCTTTTAATCATTTTTCTTTTCTTTTTTTTTTTTTTTTGGTTGCGCCGCCGAGTGCAGAATGCAAAATTCAGCAAAAATCAGAAACAAATCAAAGCGCCTTGTGTGAGCATCGCAATTTCTGTGGCAGCGGATGCTAGGGATGCCCCCTTTCCCTGGCCCCCTCTCTCACGAGGGGATCTCCTTCATTTTTCGGGGATTGGTTTTTGGGTTCGCGGGGCAGCAGCTTCTTGCATTTTTTTAATGTATTTTTAAATAAGGAATTTAATAAGCACCTTGGCGGTCCTCAAGTCGTTGGACTCGGACTGCGTTTGCGACTGCGACTGCTGAGTCGAGGAGGCCAATGCTTCCAAGACGTCGACGTCGCCAACGACGACAACACAAAGTGGCCCAGACACATGGCCCAGCAACAGCAACAGCAACAAATATAACAACAACGTTGAGGAGCTGCAGGGCGAGGAACAATTTTGGCTTTTCTCTCGTATTTTTCGAGGGCCGCGTAGGTGCAATGGGCAAAATATGTCAATTTTTTTAGATAGAATATAAAAATTAGAAGAAATTAAAGAGTTTTAGAACTTTGCTTTTGAATATTTTCATAAAGAAAAAGCTAAATATAAACTTCTTTATTTTTAAAGGATTTTTAATATAAAATTTATGACTTAGAAATCCCTAAGAAAATGAAGTTTTAGTTTGGTCAACTGTGTTAAAAACTGTAATAGACTTTTGTATCGTCATAACTATGATCTTTTATAGCTTTATGTTTCTTCTATAACTTTCCAAAATATACACAAAAAGATTGCAAATTATAAAAACCATCTGTTTTTTATTTTTTAAAAATTATACTTAATGAAGGTAAAAGCAAATGTTCAAATGTTAAGCTTAACAGCAGAACATAAAAAACGCAATTTATTAACTAAACAGACGGCGCTAAGTTGTTAAAAGTTGATTAAATTCCAAAGTTTTAGTTCAGAGTAGAATTAGCCTCCATTCATAGTTCTCCCTTAAATGACCCGCAATAAATTTGATTAGGTGTTGTATTTTTTCATATAATAACTATACTATATATACCACCGATTCCTGATAAGGGTAATAATTATTGTAGAGTATATATAAAATATACATTTCTTCCGCTTTTGTGACATTCAGTCAGTCGGTTGGGCCTTATCGATGATCATCTTTAACATACAAATGCCATGTGAACAAGCAGTTATTATTCATATTTGTGGGCCCACTGTGCGGACGTCTTCTCTCTCTCTTATGGCAGTTGCAAAATCATGTTTTAAGGTGTTTTTGATACCTAATAAAAACAACAACACGGCCTGGCTAAAAAGAAGACACACATGCAAAGGGGTGAAAGAGAGATGGGCAGAGAGTGCAGCCATGCCAAAAGGGACAAGGGTCGTGAATATATATTTCGATATATATATATATATATATATATGGGGGAGTAGAGAACATATAGCAGACGTTAGTGACCAAATCGCCCCCTTCCCCCTTAACCCTTTGTTGGCTACGTCATAGCCTCATATCGGCACTTGGAAGACGCCAACAACATTGCTGCTCGACGCTCGGCGTGTTTATTATAAAACAACAAATCATTCATTATAACCACTTGTGTGTGTGTCTCTGTGTGTGTTTGTCTGTATAGGTAAGTGGCGTAAACATGAAAAGAAACAAACACACATACAAAGGTCTTGTTCCGATATTATGCATATTTGCGTATTATTTTGATTTTAATAATGATTTATTTATTATTAATAATTCATTGGTGGTGGCCTCTTGCCGGGATTGGGATCAGACAGGCCCTGATTGCGATCAGATTCCCCCTTCGAACCGAAAGAGATCCCAACCAAGTGCAAAACCTATCCAATGGTCGTCTCTCTTTCTATCTAAATCTCGTTTGAATATCGCTTGTCTTCGGAATTGTGTAACAAAAGTTGGGGCTACTAGCTAACAGCAGCAGCAGCAGCAGCAGCTAGCAAACATGCCGCAGCGGAGGAAACGCATATTATAATGAGCTTCAATTAAGATAGAAATCTAAGTCCAAGACTAAAAAGACAAAGATTAATGGGTTCACAATTGTCCAGTTCGGTGGCTTCAGGTGGCTTTGCCAAAGAGAACTCCACAGGGAAAGATTTGTATTAAAAAGTTATAAATTTTTACCATGACAGGGAGAAAAATCAAGACTTTTCTGATAATTACATGATTTTCTGCATTAAATATTAAATATTATCTATCAGTCTTTTACAATACATATATTTAACTATTTTATATAGAATAAATTTTCCTTTTTTTTATATATTTTTCTCACTGTAAACACATGCCTCAATGCCACATGTTCACCAGCCTGAACATCATTAGGCATAAATATTTCTCCCGCCTGGCCCAGCCATTCATTTATTTTTAAGAATATTTTATATGAATGAAGAGTTTAAACAATCTTATAGCCTATTTTTTCCCAAACTAGTTTGCACTACCCACTCTTTAGAAAGATAATAAGGGCATTTCTGATTCGTTGATACCCTCCCTCAAGAGCCTGTTTTGCCAGCTGTCCATGATTTACGAGATCTGCCTTGACCAAAATATGGGTAACTGTTATAGCCGCTTGGAATATATATATATATATATTTTTTCGTTGTTGGGTCATCGATTTGTTAGCCACATTCCCGAAACATTTTTGCTTGGCCACTATAATTTATAGATTACTATTTTGATTTATCTGAAGGAGAACTTTGGTCAGAACTTTCGGGGCTCCTTCGGCGGGATCCTCTCGCCTCTCCTTCGACCACATTAATGTCAATTTAATGTTTCCTTAATGACTTCTTCGGGCTGCCAGTTCTCCTTAGTTGTTATCAGTTTGCTTTCTGGTCAAAACTGTGAAAGTGTTTATGCTAAATAGCTAACGAGTTTTCCACTCGAAAGTAAAGCTGCCCCCGTCGTGCGTCGTTCAAGTTGCATTCTACAGTTCAGTTTGATATTTTGAAGCTCAAAAGTTCCGTATGCCACATGCTCTACGGCGTCTATTTATTTGGGTCGGCAATTAAGATTTATATCAGCCCCTTTGATGGGGCAATAAAAGGCCAAAAGACGCCGCAAGCTGCAGCCGGAAAATGTTCTCTCATTCTCCTACAGAGATTTCCAGACTCTCACTCTGTCTCTCTGCCTCTGATTTTTTACTGTCTCTCATTTATGCGACTGGCGGCTAATCCTCCCACAAAAACGAAGCGTGCGCCGCCTTAAAGAGTCATAAAAATCATTTTCCCCTCCGCGGAAAAGGTGTGAAAAATCACGCAAAAGGAGGCGGAGAGGGTTGAGAAGAGGTTTTCCAAAGGGGGCAGAAGACCGCAAACTAAATGTTTAATTTTTACAAGTCGCGTCGCATGTAAACAGAATCCCCCTCCACCCGTTTGCCAGCCATTTGTTTGAATTTGTCTAAAGTGGCTGGCCCCTTTTCCGTACTTTTTTCCTTCTCTTTTTTTTGTCTTTCATAATTTTCATTTTCATTTACAGACGGAAAGAAGCTGAGAGTGGTGAAGAGAGAGAGGGGGAAAAGCCAAGCGTTTGTCAAATTTAAATCCTTTGCCCCTCTCATAGTTTTTGGCCGTTTTCTTGTTCTTATTTTTTTTTTGTTAATTTAATATTTTCTTTGTTGTTTCTTTGCGTCTGGATGGCCACATAGTATCTGTGTGTGGAGTAGTGGGTTTTCCCTGTGCTGGAAATTACGTTTACTCAGGCGCCAGGCGCGCATATTTAAATACACACGTGTTTTATCGCTGCCATTAAATCATATTTTTATACTTTTACCTTTTCCACGGCAAGCTGGGCGGACGCCCCCTTCTGCCACGGCCACTTTTCGAGGCGTTGGCATTTCGGATTGTTTACATTTTGCACTTTCATGGCATAAACAAAAGCCGAGGCGACGCTAGAATATCGTGAAAAAAGGCGAGACATCCAGCAAACTGCGATAGAACAAGGCGATAATGCCGCTGCCATGAATCAGTCTAAATGGGATTGATAGCCCTAGTTCAAACTTTGAATGACTTCCATAGTGCCAGGTTATCTAGAGTTATGGAGTGCAGTTTGAGGGACTGGAAAATAAGCTTCCTTCTTGATTTGTATTTTTTTGGAATTTTAAAATGATTAGAAATGGGAGTTATAGAGGGAAATCCCTTGTTCATGTCTCTTATGGCAAAGAAGGAGATGCTTCTCAGGGATTAAGGATAGTTATTAACTAAGTAAGACCTCTAAATCAAGATATAGTATTTCAAGAGTGTTATTAACGTGTAAAAATGTTACTATATAGAGGAAAGCCACTTGATTGTTTCTCTTACAGTAAGAAAGGAAAGACTTCTTATACATTAAGTTTAGTTATTAACAAAATAAGTCTTAAAATCCCAGAAATAGATCTACAAGTTTGTTTTTCATAGAATAAGAACTACAAAGTTCACATATTTTATAACTTTTGACATAACAATCCAGTTTAATGATCCTATAAATATTTAATTTCGATAAACACTTAATTGAATTTCAATTTGCTCTAGCTAATCTTAGTAAGTTAGTTCCTCTTATTATTTCCAATTATCACTTATCCTATTGCCCACCTTTCCATATTTCTCTATCCCATTTCCATTAACCACAACAACAAAGCTTTGGTTGGCAAATCTTAACCAGCCTCGCAACACGTGCGGCTGCTTAACCCTAAGATGCCCCCTCCCAGTTCCCCCCAACATACCTATCTATATATATATAGCAAACACCATCCATCTGCATCTCGAGATCTCTCGAGAGCAAACAATTTTGATTCCACATTTTTTAAACGTTTTCTTCTCTCCGCTTTGCTTGCATTTTCAGGTAAGATAAGATCTGATTTAACACAATACGGCGGCATATCAACAGACATGGGTAAGAAAATTTCCACTTTTATTTCGTTACATTATTCGCTCTTAAGTTTTCTTTTCCGAAAATAGAGTTTAGTCTTATGGATTTTAGAGTGTAGATCAGGTCTACTAACTAAACTAATCGAAATGTGGTGACGGTGGCTAAAATACCCTAGTTTTTATCTTTTTATGTGAGCCTAGTAAGTAGGCGTGGCTGTGGGTGGACCGGGAAAACCTGGGGGCCGCCGCGTGTGGAAATGATTGATTCACTGTCCCATGATTACGCTTCAGCCAAAACAGAGAGAGAACTCGCCATGTTCGAGCTGCTTGCTCCGCTGGCAATTAATATTAAACATGGCAATTCAATTGGCCAACACGCAGTACGGCAAGGGCTAGTGGGGATCCAGATCTGGTCCCTGTTGGAAGCGGCTCCCTTTTCCCTCTTCCTCATACCTCATTCTATCAGCTTTTGGTTCGAGCTGCCCCGAATTGCGTGTTTTCCCTTGCATACCCTGCACTCTCGGGGTGTGAATTTTTCTTAATAAACAGCTTTTGAGATAAAAATATGAATTTTAATCAATTTTTTGTTGTTTAATTATTCAGTCTTAAGTGCTGTTAAGGCAATAAAATAGGAATATTCAGTTTTTATACCCTTTTTCTTTGATAAAAAAAGACTGGCTCTTACTTGGGCTTATATAAAGATCACTTACTTTTCATCTATGATATACTGTTACTAATAGTAATAGATATACCCTCTTATTTTCGAATAATATTACCCTTGATAGTAGTGTACACCCCATTCGTCTATATCCGATCAACTTACGATATTCGACGCCGAACGCGAACATCAAAGCCCCCAGAGCCACTGAAGGCGTTTATTTCAGCCTGTTGTTTGGGACCTTTTGATGCGAGGTTATCAATCAGTCTTGTCTCGCGCAGCTACTTCTTAAAATCCAATTACACACGTGAACAAGGGAAAAGCTGGGGGGGAGCTGGAGGTCTCCTTCTGATCAACGCGGGTCTTTAGCTTTTTTTTTCGTTTTCATCGCAAGGCAGGCCACTCAAATTACATACATTGTTGGCGGTGCATTGAGGCGAAAAATTGGCGGGCCATCAGCGAAGCTGAGCCACCCAGATGCTGCTCAGTGAGCTCTTCGGCTCGCTCCCACTTATTATTTATATTCAATTGATAATCTCGTGCAAATCGGTAGCTAAATGTTGGCACAGGCGCAACAAGTGGGCAGCTACTTGGGGATCTGCGATCAGCTATCCCAGATTCGAGAGCCACGAAGCATGCAGAGAGAGAAAAAGTGATAAGTTTCTAAGGTTGAAATATAAAAATCTACCTTTAACCATCAAAAAATGGTATAAAGTTGAAAACTTTTTTAAAAATCTGCTTAACAGAAACCCAAAGAAGTCTAAACGTGACATAAAATAAAGATCAGTTCAAGCTAAAAACCATTTTCTTTCCGTGCAGCTTCACTTTTGGCACTCCATAGATAAGCTCAGATAAGCCCGCTGCTCCTGGCTGTGGATTATGGCCAGCACCACTTAAGGGGCACTCTCTGGGAGGCGGAGTTCTCTATGGAACGAGCCAGAGGAACCACTCTCTTCCGGCTTCACTGACATTGAACGCTGCGTTTTCGGTCCGTGCCCGCCAGAGATAATTAAATAGCGACCTTAATAGAATTAAATGCCGTGTTTGCATTTCAAAATCCGCAACGTGCCAAAATGCAATGGCCAACGGGCTGACGCCCCCAACTCTACCTGTTTCTGTCCTCCACCTGGCCAGACCAGGCTGGAAAAAAAATGTCAATTTGGACAAGTTTTGATAATTGCAGGTCCCCCTAGTTACAGTCTGTATATGTGTATGTTGCTACTGTGCGGCTTGCTGCAGGTTGCATGTGGCCATCATGTTGCATGTAGCATGTTGCAGTTAATAATTATTGAAATGTGCGGCCTGCCAGGAGTTGTGCCCTGCTCCTTGCGCTTCCTGCGCGGCTTCCTCCATCTGAATGTCCGTATGTTTGTCCGTTTGTCCATTTGTCCGTATGTCCGTCAGTGGCTGCATGCTTCGTTACCTTTTAGCCTGGCCAAAAGGCTAACAATGCTTGCATTTTCCCACCTTTTTCACATAACTTTTTCTCCCTCTCCCTCTCACTCCCTGACTTTGTTTTGTTTTCTCTCTGTGTGTGTTTTCTTTCTTTTTTTTTTGTCTGTTTTTCGCTTTGCGGGTGGCAGGGTAAACAAGTCGGCCACTTGGCCAACTCGTTACTTCCCGCTAAAACCCTCCCCTCTCACATGTCGAAGTTGTTGCCACTTTGGACGCGCGGTTCGGCCTCCGTCGGCCGGCACCGGCACCGGCACCCCCTGTAATAAATTCATATTCAAATTGTTAATTGAATATTATTTGTTAAATTTGCAAGCATTAAATGTAAATGTCAGCGGCGGATGTCCGTCGAAGTGGGCGTGCCGGCCAGTCGGGGGCGAGCGAGAGCTCCTTTTTATTTGCTCATATAAATTCGGTGTTCGTTTTTAATTGGATTTATGCGATTTTAATAGGAGCAGGTTAGCCGGGGGATGTTTTGATTTTAAAAGGGGAAGTGATCAGAAGTTAGTTAGGGTATTTATTAGTTGGTTTTTTAGATAACATAGTAAGTAAACCTTATAGAAAGGGCTAGGATATGACCGCTTTCCAACATACAGAACATACAAACCCCTTCCTTAAAACAAATCGAACTCCGAAACCAAACCAAACTCGGTCACTGTTCCAACGACCTCAAAAAAAAGTGGCCTGCAAATATTCGTAAACACCGCCCCCAAAAATCAACAACAATAAAAAACCTCTCCCTGGAGAGTTTTAAAATTTGCAAACGAATGACAAACGGAAAAAAGCGGGCCAAATGCGACGACTGAAAACTCAGGCTCTTGTTGGCTGGTCGTTGTCCTTGTCGTTGTGGCTCTGCAATTTCCATAATTCATATTCATAGACATTACACAATAACAACCGTAGAGAAAGAGAGAGAAAGGGAGAGAGAAAAAGAATGAGAAGGAGACCCAAACAGCACCTGCAATACGGACAAATGTCCGTCCTACCAAAAACCTCCCAAAAAAAAAGAAGGCTAAAAGAATATGGAGAGTGCAAAAATTCCACATATGTTAGGAAAAAAAGCAAAAAAGAAAGTCCAAAGAACTGTCGCATCACGCTTATGCATAAATTATTCAAAAACCGAACAAGAATTTTAACCATTAATATGATGAGCTTTAAATCACTGACAAATTAGGCCAACAAACACAGATGCGGATGTATCCCACAGATACATTGGCAACGTGCTGCTGGCTGGCAATTTGATTTTACACACTTCGAAATTATTAACTGGGGAGCACTTTGTGTGCGGTGTAAGTGTAAGTGCTGTACTCTCTCTCCAACGGACCGGAAACAGTTCATAAAATGGCAACACAGAGCACTTTCGTTTTTACCGTTGGCATTTGCAGCATCTGCAGGATGAAGCGAGGCGAAGGGGGGTGGTGGTGGCCATGGCAATGGCAAGGACATCCTGGCATGTGTCGCCTGCCAGCCAATGGACATCTGGGTTTTGGCCTGGTCAGAGCAGGACTGACTGTTACCGGGCAGGTTTCAATTAATGAATTAGTAATTTCGGCTTCATTGCCGGTAATGAACACTTCGGGGAGGCTCGGAATGAGGTGGCAAAGCGTGTGCTAATTACTTGGACTCAGGTGTTGGGCAGTAGGGATGAAATCAGGGCTTATAACTGAAGAGTCTGTAGGAAAATGAGAGATATGTTTGAATAGGATTTGGCTTTACAGAATGTATAAATCCGATTCCAAAATCAGAAATTAGTTCAAGACATTAGTAGCCAAGTTTTTAATTCCAAATCTAATAGTTGTCTTATTAAAACTAAAATATAAGCCAGAAAGACACAAACTTTGGTTGGTATATTATATAGAAATCTGATATAAACATAGAAAAAACCAGAAACTAGAACAACCAGATACAATTTTATCTGATAAACATACTGTAGCTCAAAGTAAACTTTAAATCAGTAATTTTCCACCCATTTTAAGCTTTTAAAAACCTCACCAAACACCATGTATTTACATCTAAAGTCAATAAGCACTCTTCAAATAGCACAAAACACTTTGAACTCCTTTTAGCAGCCGTGATTGCTGGCCACGACAAATGCCATTTGCAATGGCATACGTAATTTACCATATCATTGTGTCATTAAAACGTATATATCTTCGATCCAAAGTGAGCACAGAATAGTAGTTTGTTTACCAAGTTACAGTTAATGAATGGTTAGAGGTGGAAAAGCAGATAGATTGTAGATGGAACCACCTCTTTGGGGAGTTATAACCAAAGCGATGTGCCAGTGAATCCAAATGTCGGCTAAAACCCGTCTTATCATGGAATTTACATCCGTATCTCTTTCTTTCTTGTTTTTTTGGCCCGCTCTTTCGTTTCACTTTTATTCGGAGATTCTGTTCGCTTCGCTGTAGGTATGCAATTAGTCAATTAATTTGAAAATTTATTAACCGCCAAAAACCAATTTGCTCCAGATCAGCAAAGAAAAAAAACCACACGAGATCCGAACATGGGGGGAAAAAATACAAAAAAGAGCGCGCTGCGGAGATCGCGAAATGCCGGCGGTAAACTGGCCTCGATCTTGGTCAAGATCACGGCTGCAAGATCCGTTCGAGGCGTTGGTCAGCGGACAAATGAAGGGTCTCAGAGGTTGCGGAACTTTCAGCGAGTTAGTTAGATTTGAAATCAAAGCCTCGAAAGGAACCTTTCTGGTTACCCGTTACCCCTATCCCCTCGAAATGTAGTGCAGATAATTTATGAGTTCGCCGGCAGCGGAAGTGCGTGTGTATCTGGGAGATACGAATCGCAGCGGCTACCGATATGATTTTCTAGGTCAAAAAGCAGAGTCCGCGAAATAAATGACTTTTGTGCATGTCGCGGACTGCTTGCCGTCGGCTTGGCTTCCAGCCATAAATTTT